AGTGACCATAGCCATGATGGACACACCTAAGACATATCAAGTTACTCCTCTGCTCAGAACCCTCCAATGTTCCCCAAGTTTTTAGAGCAAATGCAATCTTTACTATGATCCATAAGGTTTACTGAGCTCCCCCATACTTCCCTTCTTCTTCCATGCCTGCCTCACCTCAGCTCCCACTCTCCTCCCCCTGATCACTCCAGGCTCCTTGAACACCAGGCCTCGAAAATACCAGGCCCTCAGCCTTTGCTGTTCCCTCCAACTGGCATATTCTACTTTCAGCTCTCCCAAGGCTCCATCAGATCTTTATTCAAATACCAGCTCCTCAGTGAGGCCATCCCTAGCTACCCTGCCTCAAGCTGCAATCCCTCCACTCCAAAAAACCCCTTTCCTTGATTTATTTCCCCCTAATGTGTGTACTATATAACACACTCTGCGTTTTACTTATTCATAGTTTTTAATTTTCTGACTCCCTCACCAATAAGCTCTAGGAGAGCAGGCATTTTTATCTGTTTATTCAGTGCAAATACCCCCACCCAGTGCCTAGAATATAGCAGGAGTTCAATAGATATTTCTAAATGTATGAGAGGCTGAATTGATATCATGCCTCAAAAGAAAGCGGGGGAGCTTCTAATAAATACTGCAGCTGGGATAGGATAACCTTGGGTAGAAATCTAGGGACTTCCCATCTTTATTTTCCTCTTGGTAATATGCTTTCAAATACTTCTCCCAGACTCTAAAATTCAGAGTAATCCCAGAATAAATACTATTTAAAAATCCAGGCAGTCAAATATATAAACCACCTCAAGTAGCTTTGCAGTTTCCCTCTCTCCCTACATAGACCCCAAGAAAGAACAGCTGAATCTCTTTTCCATCTGGGCCTTCAGATAAATAAATCATCTGTCCTCATCAGGTGTACTGAATGATCCATTTCAGAATAAAGAATATAAATATTATACTAGGGGGAAAAGACAGTGCTTCCCCACAGAAACTTCTATTCGTACCCTTCCTAGAGCAGCACCCAGCAGGCTCTCATTTAATGAAAAAGGGAACACACTATGCTGCTAACAGTAAGTTGGATAAGACTTCCTGTACTTAGCTATCTCACTTTGCTTTTGGCTTAGACATAAAACTGCCCCTCTAAAAAGGAATCGGCTGTATCTACTCATGCATGGAAACCTCCTGAAGAACAATAGCAAGTGCCTTCCTTGTACAGACGAGCCTTAAAGTCTCAGGGTCATCAGGACACTTGAAAACCATCTCACCTTCCCTGCCTCCCTGATTTTAGAGATGAGGAGGCTGGGTAAATGACCAATCAACCCACAGGCCACACACCCCATAGTGGCTGAGCCAGTCCAGGAACCCAGGCCCAGATCCTCCACGATGCCTGCTCCAGCCCTCCACAGACAGCAGTTATTTCCATGGAAAATGTTCAGTCTCTAAGAAAAGCATGTATTGATGCCCTGCAGAGATGAAGATTGCTTTCTGGGACATGCCAGTTCCTGCACTCCAGGGGAAATGAGGCCTATTGGGAGAATCCTTCTGTGTCCTGCCAAGTACTAAGGCCTTCTCTATTCAGATACTGTTCATGACGTGGAAATTACAGAAGGACTTCCATGAATCTAGGGTGTTTCCTGGACACCATGCCAAAGCTTTCTTCCCATCTGTATGCTTCCCCAAACATCACATTTTCATTTTCTTGTTTCAGAAGTTGTTAAAAGATACCCACAGCAGAGGTGGTCTGACAGCCGCAGCAAATACACCGACAGAAGCGTTCACCACTCCCAATTTGCTGTTCCATAGCATTTACCTGCTCTCGTAGTGTGCCAAGGATCTGAAAACATGTCACTGATTAATAACTAGTAATTAAGTCTTACCACCTTTTCAGGAGATAGGGTTAGGTTCCAGGATTCCCTCTCAAAGGAAGCCATACTGCAGCCCACAGGTAAGTAAGAGGTTTGTCCTGAGGCCTGACTCAGAGGTGTGTCTGCTAACCCAGGCCCAAACCACAAAGACGGTCCTTTCCCCTCTGTTGTCCTTTGCTTCCTCAGCATGGTTTCCCACACTCTTGGGCAAGCTTTCACTCCCATTTGGCCTCACCCTCCAGCAAGGGCCCTCTGACCACACAGTCTAAATAGCTAGACCCTTTAGCTTCAATGGTAAGTGTTCCGTTCTGCAAGGAAAGATACCTGGGTTAGGCAGCCAAATATCAAATGACAAAGTTTGGCAGAGTGCACGTCAGGCCTTTACAATGCTTTATTTGAAAAGCATTTTAACACTGCAAGCTGACAGTCTGGCTCCTGGCAGGGCTTCTCTGCCTTAGGATCTTAAAGGCATATGGTGAAGGTGTGACAAACAAAATGACTGAGCCTACAGAGTACCTTGGAAATGAATCCCAGACGTAACCGTTGATGCCTTTGATTTATGCTAGATTTCATTACTCAATATCCACACTGAGGGACTACAAATTACCTCTCTATTTAGATGCAGGACCTGAACCAGGGTGAAACAGGCATCCTGAACTTCAAACCACTTCTAGAAAGTCTGAGGAGACAATGTTGATAATCCCAAAGCTTTGAAATGTTACAGATTTAGATAGCAGGTTGCCCCACAATTATGTTTTCTTTACATTAAGATTAGCTTTCCAAATACTAGAATTAATTCACGTTGTTATTAAACATTTGCCATTACATAACCCACAAAGTGGCTCAACCCCGTATGGGTAATTATGAATGGTTCTGTAGATCAAGTATCAGCTACATCACTTAATATCTAGCTCATGTTTTGCAGGTCACTTACTCTCTCTTGCCTCAGTTTTCCTATCTGCCAATTGGGAATAATAGTAAATACCTACCTCATAAGGTAAGCACTTAGTATGATGCCTGCTACATAGATCTAATTTAATAAAGTCACATACAATTACTATTATCATTATGTCAATGAGTAAAAACGTTTTGATCATTTTATCGTTTGTTTCATCCTTCTAGAACTCCTGCCAGCACTACAGGACCTCAGTGGGAAGCTCCTTGTAAAGACTTTTTTTTTAAGCAGAAGGCAAAGCTTTGGGACCCCAAAGAGACCCAAACCCACTTCACAGGGAACGTGGCCAGAATCCAGGAGGTTGTTTGCAAGAGCTCTACAGTCTCTCCTGCACCAGAAGACAAATCCCGTTCTTCCCAGAGGTGGAAACACCGCAGTCATCCCCAAGCAGCTCCTGCAACTCAATGAAGCCACAGCTCAGTGAGCCTCGGAGGCAGCCCGCCACTGCAGAGGTGCTGCTGTGGGGCTCTCCTGGGGAGCAGGCGTCGCTTAGGGGACACTGCATCACGCAACCTGGAAGCTGCTGGCCCAGGGACCATGAGAGGGGCTCAAGTGGCGACACACCATACAAAGAGATGCATTTTCACATGAAGGTTCACATGAAGGGACTCCACTCTCTCCAGTCCCCTGGTCCACAGTCACATAACCCCTGTAGGGAGCACAGTCAGGGCTGCTTCTCGTCTCTTGGTAGCCTGAGCATCTCAGAGTCGCAACCCCTATAGGCCCAAATAAACCTCAATGGCAATTTTCAAAAATTCTCTCCAAAACTCACCCCTTAACTGGCCGTGCTGAGAGGCAGCCTCAATCCCCTCATTATGAACAGACTGCATCTGTTCTGTTTTCACTGCAACAAAGATGGAAAGTGTAAGACCCACAGGTGCCCTCCCTGCAGCAAAGCACAGAGCTAGGAGACCCTGTTCTCTGCCTCTGCAAGTGTGCTTTCCCAGGAATCAGCAGCATCTTGGGGAAGGCCGTCTTCAGAATGAAATCTAACTTCATTCTGGGGGACCCACTACAGACACTGGGGGGCAGAGGTCAGGAAAATGACCAAACAATAGCAAAGGACCCTGGGTGTGGAACAAAGACAATCTGGGTTTCAAAATATGATTCTGGGGCACCAAATAAAAACCAAGACAAAGAGGAAAAGAAAGGAAAGAAAGAGCACACTGTTTATCCTACAAAACACCTCCTTTTTCTCTTCCCAGCCCCCATGAATCCCTGCAAAATGCCCAGTACATGTGGCAGCTGTGTGTGAATATACACTGACAGATATTGATCAGCAACAGATATTGATCACATGAGGGGAGAAAATAACTTGAACTTCAGATTCATCCAGCAGTGCCTGATTCTCTTTCACAATCAGCCTCCCCACCCATTCTCTGGCGCTTAAAACAAAATAAACAAAAACCAACTCCTGGGCAGAAAGGGAACAGCAGCCCAACAGAGTGGCACATGCTTGCTGCATTCATGCCATCGACTTCTGATTATCTCTTTCTTGAGGCGCAGCCACCAGCATCGGACTAAATACCGCCCTGGAGAGCAGCCGCCTGCACAGCGACACTCACAGACCTTCGCTCGGAGACAAGCACTCCAGCGTGCGTGGCTGAGCCTCTGTGAAATGGACACGCGCTCCGTGAGGCGCGTGTGTCCACACATGACCGTGCACACTGCGAAATCCTTCCCTTCCACAATCGCGTGGCCACCCAACGTCTTGCCTGCACCTCGTAGGTGCAGGTGGTCATTCTATGATATGAGAACACACGATGGAAGGACAGAAATGGGAGCGACCGAAGCTCGATGTCCCCATGACCACGTCTCTCATTCACACGGTGCGCCCTACACACGGTGAATAAACGCGCACGGCCAGCAAACACAAGATCCACCATCTCAGCCCACAGTCACGCGTGAAGAGAAAGAAGCGGAGAGGGCGGCGTGGTCGAGGGAAGTGTAAAGCCGCCCGCCGGCGGGGCTACCCTCCCGAAGCCCAGAGCTCCCCGGCCCGCA